AGCCACCTAAGCTATCCTAAGCTCTGAGCACCCAGACCAAAACGGCAGAGTTCGATAAGAGCAGAACCGAAATGCGATTCCTCCGAGATGCAGGAACCTGTGCAATGAATGCGCGCGTGCGAAGGAACACAGATGCCTGCATCCATTAACCTACCAGGATCTCACAGCCCTTCGTTGCCGAAGATTCCTGAAACTTCCATATTCGGCCTTCATGTTTATACTTACCTAAAACCTGACCGAGCTGTTTGTCTTTGTAGGTTAGGGCTAATGCTGGGGCCTCAATAATTTGAATAGGGTTTTGGCGGGGCTCCTTACAATTATGGTATAATGTAATTAACCCCAAAACCCCATTCTAATGATTAAGGCCCCTTTCTTCAGATAGTTTGGAATCGGAATCCCGGGTCCGTTAAAGGTGTATCGCCGTGTTCAGCTGCCAAGCGGATTCCCTCTGGATGCGTCAGCTGCGAAGCGGCTCGAAACCCGGGCACTGCAGTTTGTGAGGGGCCTTTATATTGAGCATGGAGTTCTTGATCGCTATATATATATATATATATATATATATATATATATATTCAAACGGTGCAAAGCCTTGGCGACTTCAAAGGGCCATCAAAACCGATGCAAGTACGAAACATCCCGACCTCTGGACTCCTCGACCCCAGCAAGACCTTTCTCTTGAACCCTCAAACCCCCAAACTCCAAAACACTAAACCTCGACGAACCAGGGTGGCGGAGAGAAGGTTCGGAAGCTGCGTGCAAACGCGTCTAATTACCCTTCTGGGACTTGAGCTTCTCTGAGTCTCTTAGGCTCCGCCCGAAGATATCTCAGTTCCTGAAAAACCCTACCCTAAAGCCTAAGGACTAAGGCTCCCATTGAGTTTCCAACTTTTGGGCTTCTACTGTATGATAGGAATTGGGTTCGAGGGTTAGTTTGGGTTTTGGAAGAAATTCTGTGGAATTGGGGCTCGAGGAAGCTGTTCAGAAACTATTGTGGAATCGGGGGCTTGAGACAGTTTAGAAGTATCACTACCCACAAGCCGGTAACGTATAAAAAGAAGATTACACTGGCTCCGTACTGTAGGGGCCTCAATTGCCTTAATAATTAGAATGCGGTTTGGGGGCATATAATACTATACTTGTAGTAAGGAACCCCCAACACCCTATTCTAATTATTAAGGCCCCTCGGCTGCCAAGCTCGCAGCGCTTCGCAAGAGGATCCCTTGGCAGGGGCGTTCACTCATCATATCTGGCGTCTATAGGTCCTGAGGCCAACGTAAAGGGGACACAAGTGTGGAACACATAAGAAGTAAGCACGTACGGATCTCATTTTGGGAATGCGCCACATTTCCCTGACGCAGAGGTGCTCTGCAACATGTCACCTGGCACACCAGCCCCAAAGTCATTTCTTGAAGCAAAGGACTTGGGTAATATGCTTGGCTCCAGTATAGCAAAGATATTCGGGAACCCAACCTGTCCCTCTGACAAAGCTAATAATTCGAATACGTTTTCGGGGGTACCCGGCTATAGTAAATTAGGTTTACCATAAGGAACCCCAAGTTAGTATAGGTAATTATGAAGGAGCCTATAGTACATGAAGGCTATCGCTCACATCGGGGCACCGCACTGGAGGCCTCGGAACGCTCGACGAATCGCCACCACTGACGAGAATTCCAACCGTCAAACCCAAGCTCTAAAGCCCTAAACTCCCAAAGCACGAAACAACAGCTTAGCCCTACTGCCTACAGAACCCAAGCCACCCGAGGAGAACCTCTAAAACCTATAACCTGAAAGCCCCCAACTCCAAAACCTGAGGAGCCCCTCAGATCCTGTAAGCCCTGAAAACTCTATAAACCTAGAAACCCTACAGCCCTGCGTCCATTGTAGTTCCTGCTTTGGCTTAACCCTTTGATTAGGAGGATTCTATCAGGTAACCAACAAGGAACTACCATGAAGGTAAGCCCTAAACCCCTTGAAATCCTAACCCGTAAACCCTGATTCCTACGAAACCCTAACCTAACCCCCCTAAACCATAACCTAACCCCCCTAAGCCCGCTCCTCTCTCCCGGACGACTTTTCGACTTAGGCGAACTTGAGGTCCGATCCTTTGGCTCCGCCGGCCTTGTGGCCAGGGGTTGGGTACTGCCCCGACCCTGCAACACTCGACATTGGGGGTCAAATTGAGGGCTCTGTACATTTGCATTCTATTGCGGCTTTATGTTTGTGTATTTCGTAAGATCTTCCACTGATTCATGGAACGGGGTGGAGGGTTTAGGCTTTGAAGTGGTTTGAAGGGTTCTGGATTTGGAAACTTGCGAGGCCTTGGCTTTCGAGAGCAGCCGTGGGTTTCAGGGTGTTGGCGGCTTTTTGCAGTGTACGGGTGCTGCTAGGCTCCAAAGATTTAAGGCCGAATCCGTCTCTGAGATTACACCCCTCCGGCCCGATCGTTTAAAACCCCAATGATGAATAACCCATATGGTCCCTTATCGTAACCAAAGCCGACCTACATTCGAGTCACTAAGGGGCTGAGACCCCTTTTCAACCCATCCCTGAAAGCAACGGAGAATTGAATTGCAGATCCTCTGGTGCTCAGGGCTTGCATGCATTCATTGTGCTCTCATAGTGCCGATAGAACTCTACTAGAACTATGTCCATCGCTCTGGCCCCTATATTGCAGAACCCTAAACGCTTGTAGTGACCCTTCTAGAACCCCGCAAAGGAACCCCTGACATAAATCGCTCAGGCCCCCAGACTGCTTGTATGAACACATCTCCCATGGCTCGCGCCTCCAGCCTGGCTTTTGCTCGATGTCGTCTTCGCACCTCCAGGCTTGGGGTACTGTGGGTGCCTTCATGGATTTCGGGGCATGCTATCCATGATATATGGGTGGCTGTCAAAATCATGGTCCCTTTTTGGATCCCTATTATATTACGGCACCTAAGGGGTTCGTGGCTATGTTTAGGCAGGGTTATAAATAAAAACAATAATAATTATTATTATCATTATTATTGTTATTATTATTATTATGATTATTACTACTATTATTACTAAAACAATATATATATATATATATATATATATATATATATATGTGTGTGTGTGTGTGTGTGTGTATGTATATATATATATATATATATATATATATATATTTCGGCTGCACAAGCTTGTAAACAACAAAAAACAGCAACCCGTGCTTTGGCAGAAAGACCGCTCTGCGTCGTACGCATACTCCATTTCCTCAGCCCGTAAGCCTAAGCTCTAAACCCCTGTATGCATGGCATAAAGATCCCCCAATGCAGAGTGGGGCTGGGAAATGCGCGGCAACGATTTGGGCTTGGAAACGACAGATTCAAGCTTTACAGGTCTAGAAAGCCTAGTTCAAATGAACCCCGAAACCCCCACACCCTAACCCTAAACCCTAAACCCTAAACCGCTAAACCCTAAACACTAAACCCTAAACCCTAAACTGCTAAACCCTAAACCCTAAACCGCTAAACCCTAAACCGCTAAACCCTAAACCACTGCCAAAGCCCCCAAAAGCCCTGGAAGCCCCGGACACAGGGCCCAGGCCATTGATGCGGCGCCCGCGGCCACGCCGACCGCGAGGAAGCACATCCCCCAGAAGATCCGGCTAAGGGATCCATCCTTGGCTGGTCACTTCCGGATCTACGAAGCCGATAGCCTAGTCTATACCATATAATTGCCCATGATGTCAATGATGTCCGATCATGAAGGCACAATGCGGGTATCGAGGGGAGGATTGCGCACTCTAAATCTGGAACTCGGAATCCTACAAACCTTAGATCTCCGGTACCCGAAAACCCGAAACCGAAGACCCCCTAACCCTAAAGACCGTTTCTTAAATCCCAAAGCCCTATAAGCCTAAACACTAAACCCTTAAACCCAGCCTCAAAACCCCAAAGCTATTTCTCCAAGTCACTAAGGGCTCTTCCTCCAGGGGTGGAATGGCATCTGCCCATACGTCGATTGCATGGAGCATGGCTTCCTTCCAAGTTAAAGCCATCATCTGGAAGTTTCCGAAAATGGGAGACCCTAATATAATAACCTAAATAGTAGGATCCTTATTGTAATGACCCCAAAATAAGGCATCCCTAATTTCGAAAAACCCCAGTTGGGCTTTACGGCTTGGGGCCTTTTTTGGCTTAGGACTTCTAGGGTTTACGGCTGTTGGGTGTGGGGTTAAAGTAGATACTCTCAGTCTCAGGCTTTAGTGCTCTAGGGGTTTAGAATTTTAGGGATTGGCGCCATAGGGAAGCCATGGCCGGCGTCTGGGGCTCGATAGGGCTTTTGCGGGGGCGCTATGATCTTACAGCGAACCCCAGAAAGTTGGAACATGAGTTTGGGATGGTTAGTGCTGGGATTCCCTTATACTTTACCATAAAGGAATGAGGATTATATGTTCCAACTTTTTGGCTATACGGTATATTATATTTGTTTATCTTATATTCTATAATGATCTATGATAGGCTATGCTCTGTCGGGGTTTACAGCTGCTTGTGCAGCAGTTGACCAAGGCTAAGTTATGCTTCAGTTTCTCCGAGTTTGTTGCAAAAAATCAGAGCTTTTAGGCTTTGGATTTCAAAATACTAATACTAATACTAGTGCTAAGGCTAATGCTGCTACTGACATTGACAATAAGGTGCATGTGTCTAGGCTTTTGGGACTATGGGAACCCTGTAGCCGCAGCTGCCCTGCATAGCGTTCCCGACACAGGCCTACCTTCCACCCTCAAACCAAACTAGGAGGGGCTTTTGAAGCCTTTGAAAAATATTGGTATTAGTATCAGCATTAGTATTAGTGTCAGTACTCCTCTCAAGCCCAATAAGGGAAAACATGAAATGTCCCAAAGCACTACCTAGCAAACAAAAGCCTAGCTGGTGATGAGTTCCCTGGGTCAGAACAATTAAGCCGCTGGTTGTGGTACGTAGCGTGACAGACCCCACAGTAGGTAAGCTTACTGAGCCAGCTCCTTAACACGCACATCACAACAGAAGCCCCCTAAATGCTAAACTGCAGCGTGCCTTGACGGTGATGGTGCCCTCTGTTGTGGCATTTGGGTGGACGAGGCAAGTGAAGAGTGCTTGAACCATGGGACGGATGAGGTCTCCTGCCAAGAAAACTCAGAAGATGGGCTCCGGGACTAAGGGTTTGGGCTTTCGATGTTAGACGCTCTTTATTTCCCTCTCTGCAGTCATCGCCAAGGGCGCAAGAATAGCCCAGAGGCGTTCTAGAAGGCGAAAGACTTGCGACGGGTTTGCATGTAACTGTGGCATCCTCTTGGCACGAATAAATCACGACTTCAATACCGCCCGTAAACGTAGCACAACAAGCACCGCTCTCCATGTCACTGCCTGTATCTCGGCGGAAGGCGTCCATGTGCCGCACAGCATTGCCCCAGGTGGCGATGTCCATGCATGACCTGCGCTGAGGATGCTTCCACTAAACTTGCCCATGCAGGAGCGACGAAAAGATGCCATGGCATGGGAAGAACAAGCGTGCACATTCCTGCCCAGTGGAGTCCGAAACAAGATCGTTTTGCTGGTAGGGCAACTGTATTCGCAACACCCCCTTCTTCCGACATCGGTCAGGCAAAACGCAATAAAACTCACAGCGACTCTTCTAATCACGAACTAGGGCTTTTGTAGTTAGAAGGCGGCCATATCCTCTGAAATGCATGCCGCATCGCCTACATCCTTGAACCCTCAACGAAGCAGCAACATCAGCAACAACAGCGATAACAACATCAGGACAAAAGAGAACGAAGGACGCCAAGCAGAACAAATCGCAAACCTGCGACGCACTTCTGCATCATCGAAGGCGCTGGTCGTCCTGGCATTCGCTTCGTTTTATGGCTCCGGAGTACTTTACTTCATGTTGTTGTGACATATTCACAACGGCACCGTGACAACCCGGTCGCTGAGCTACGGGTACTACAAGACTTGTATAAGGCTCCAGGCCCTTATAAACCCTTAGCCTTAGGACAGAAAATGGGAGTTTCCGAAAATAAGGGGCGGCGTACTTCGGGGTCCCTATAACAAGGATCCGTCTATTCAGGGTACTAGATTAGGGTCCCCTAATTTTCGGAAACTCCCAAAGAGTTAGGTCGGGAGCAGAGCTCCGAAGGTCGGAAGCAGTGTGGAAGCTGACCGGACGCAGCAGTTGCGAGATTCCAGCTCTAAAGGTTCTACTTGGAGGTTCATGGGTAGTTACAAGTAGGGTTATAAGTCCCCTAATATGGGTTATAAGTATAGTTACCCTACTTATAACCCCACTTATAACCAGCTTCAGAGCCTGTCCCTGTTTATGGTTCTTGGTGCCCCCAAATCGACCCAAAGTCCTCTTTTTTGGGATTACTTGGGTTACTTGGGCCCTTGGGGCTCCCGTTTTGAGATTCAGGAGTGGGTTTATAAAGTCGCTTTGTTTAAGGCTTGGGGGCTTAGGGTTTTAGCGGTTTAGGAGTTTGGGGGTCTAGGGTTTAGGGCTTTATCTGCTAGAGATGTCAGAGGTGGGACAATCATACGACTTCCTGGAATGACACCTTTAAACTAAGAACATGAAAACATTAAGCTGATTGCACAAAACACTGAACCTGAACTGCTGAGACGTAACCCTAAACCCGTCAAGTTTCAAGCCTTGAGCCACCTTGAACCCTAAACCGCGAATCCCTAAACACCTAAAGCCCAAGAACCTAAGTTCGCTTCAGGGTTTAGGGACCCTAAACCCTAATAACCTAAGCTTCGTCTCCTAATGTCTCCGAAACTCAGCCGAATGCAACCGATGGGCATGGACAAAGATGAGGCTGGATCCCAGCTGCACATATCGTTGACCACCTGTGGTCCAAACGGATTTGCAGGAATTAAGCCTTTCAACCTGCGTGCCCTTTGGTCCTTCTCTCCGGAGGGAGGGTGTTGGCTCTAAACCGTACACCCTTAATCCTGACAACTGTGGCTCTGGGAAATTGGCAATGTTGGTGGTTGAAAGCTTTAGGTTCAGGGAATTGCTCTTTGCGATTGCGGGCTTCTGCTTGGGATCGCGAAAGGCTACTGCTTAGGCTTCGGGCCAGGGGTTTTATAAGTTTCGGGTTCGAAGCTGGGAGCTTGGATGAGGAGTTTCGGGATAGGAACACTTCCAAGCGCAAGACCCTCCAAGCAAACACACCAAAAGCCTGCACCCCAACCCTAAGCCCTAACCTCGAAACCTGAACCCTCTACAGTAACGCTGACAGTCCCTTATCGTAAGCCCTATGAACCCTTAGAGCAAGCCTTCTAAATGCTTTTAGAGACGCCCGGGCTCCAAAATATCTTAAACCCTGAGATACCTTAAACCCTAGCCCTAAACCATAGTCTCTAAACTCCCCAGAGACTCCAATGACCCTGAATTAAGGAATATACCGTAAATTATATAGGGGATCCTACTATAACTTAAAGTATATTCCTTAATTAAGGTATAATGGAGTCTCTGGGTTCTCCAAACTTCTCCCCCTAAACCCTTTTACACCTGGACTACGCATATGCCAGGAACTCCCCCTAAACCCTAGACCCTTAACCCCTGACCCTAAACCTCTCCAAAAAGGAACCGAAGGACTGCACCCAGGTGGTTCGAGCCGTAGACGGTCTCCAGGACGCGCCAGAGAACTGAGTTGTCGCCATGGGTCGTAGCCCGACTCCTGGTGCTTTTGGGCCTTCCCATCTGGCCCTACACCGTGAAGCTCTGAAGCCTAAGCACTTTGAAATCTGGAGAAGCCCATACGCAGAACCCTGGTACACCATTACAAAAACTTCAAGATGTACAAAGCCCTCGGTAGGCCGTCTACTGAAGACACCGAAAGCACCCCTGAAGCCTCAAGATGAGTTTGTAATTCGCTTCCAGCAATTCCCCGAAGCTCCTGGCGATGCGACCCTCGTCGTAGCCGGGGCCGTCCACCTGTCTTTAATTTGTGCTTCGGGGCCTATGGTATAGGGGCCTTAATAATTAGAATGGGGTTTTGGGGCCCATTATACTATAACTATAACAAGGAACCCCAAAAATAGCATTGGTAACTAAAGCTTTTATGTTGCAACCCTGGGGGTCTTCTAAGCCCTTAACTCTAAGTCCTGAGCTTTGTGGCTTCAGGCATGAGCATTTGGGAGTTTCCGAAAATAGGGGACCCAAATATAGTACCCTAAATAGTAGGTCCTTGCTATATATAAGGACCCCAAAATAAGGTAAACCGTAAATAGTAGGATCCTTATTATATATAAGGACCCAAAATAAGGTACCCCTATTTTCGGAAACCATTTGGCAACAAGGGGACGGGGGACCGACTGGGGTTTGCAGCTTGAAGTACTGCTTGGCATCAGACATAGACCCGAAAAATCACTGGGCCCTAAGCGATAGAGATGGGTACCGTTCAGGGTCTTGCGTTTAGGGCTGCCGCAAACCGCAAACCAAGAGAGACATCTTAATTTTCAGGTTCGAAGTTTACTGGTTTAGGGTATCGGGTTTTAGGCTGTCCAGTGCCAAACTCGTTGTTGCAAGTCGGCATACACGGCCTCATAAAGGGCACACAAATTAGTCATGAAGCGTTGCGGTTCGAAGTAGTCCAACATCTCTGAACCCCCGAGGCCTCAGGGCGACTTCTTGAACCCAATGGCTCCGAAGCCCTAAACCCTACTGTGAAGCCTGTAATCCCGCAAACGGCGACCTCCTCCGCGCCTTTACAAACCCCGAAACTACTAGCTCCGCTGAGCCTAAGCCTAGCCTCATGGGCCTCAAGCTCAAGGAAGTAACTTTATGCCCTAGAAAGGCTGGATCCAAACACCTCACCCCGAAAACCCCAAAACCCCCAAACCGTTGTTGCAGTCCTCCTTAGAGAAGCCCTTCTTAGAGCAGCCCTTCTAGTAGACATGAACCTCTGCCTATACGCCCTAAGAGCCTGATAAACAGAAATATTCTGAATATTCTCTTGGGCTTTACATGAACAAACATCAAAACAAAACAATTCCTAAGGAGACTATTTTTTGCCATGCAGGATCATTAGACTATAGTTACATTGCCCTTACAGGAACCCTCCAAGAAATGCGGCAGAGCAGTTTCCCGAGCCTCCAAGAGACGATCGAAGTATTTCCCTGACTTGAGCCTTGGGCACTCATGGGAGAGTATACTTTTTTGAAGCAATGGACTTGGGAGAGTATACTTCAATCCTAGATTATTAGTTGTTCTGCTTGTATTTTTTTGGCAGCAGTAGTTTTGCGAATTAGTGACGGCAGCTCCTCTGTGAGCGCGGGATGATACAGGCTTTGAACCGTTGAGAATCGCAGCCCCTCTTAAGGTAAGTGTAATATTGTACCTCAAAAAACCGTACTGATTTGCTTACGGCGCCTTTAACAGAAACAAAGGATTCGGGCTCAATGCGTGGAGTTCAAGCCTTGGGGAGGGCTCGGGATTTGGGGGCAAGAAAGAACGGATGCCTGCCCTGGCTTCAGATGCGGAAGCTTGTTCCCGGCGCCCGTGCTACTGGTGGTGATGGTGGCGGCATTGGTGGCTAGTTGTTGACTTGTTGAACCATATGGCTTCGAACTGCGTTGTCTGTGCCTGAAACTGTGACGACGACAACGGGAGTCGTCCGCTGACAGCACCAACATAAACAGCACACGGTCACGGTAGTCGTGGTCAAAGTCCCTGCAGAACAAGTGGCAACATGCGGGTGATGTCCTTGTCGAAAGTGCTTTCGCAGATGTCGTCGGGGACGTCCACCTGCTTGACACTAGTAGCAAGGACCGAAACCTCAGAGGCTGCAGTTTACTGAGTTCTGTCCTGCAGATCCTGCAGACCCTGGTGGAGCTCGAAATCCCACCAGCCAAAACATGATGCACAATGCCTGGTTGCGCAGCTCACCCTTTTTTCGTTTTGGAAATCGGGCAAAGGAGCTCAGGGTTTCACTGATTATACTTGCCCATGCTCGAAACTGGCCGCCTGAATGTGCTGAGCGATGAAAGCCAGCTGCTCGAGAAAGCTGACCTGCCGCATGCACTGGTAGTCCTGCGGGTCAAGTCTTGGGAAGTCCGCATGCACAAGTTCACAGTGGCACCCAAACACACAGCCAGATCAAATTAGGAAATGCTTTCAGAATCCAGCTCAAACCAACATCAGATGTTCATACTCACAGCTACTCGATTATGACTGAACTCACATCTCATGTCTTGCTCTGAACCTGAACCCGAAGATCCCGAAGCCCTCCACACCTGTTTTCACTGTATACCCTGGACCCAGAGCCCGAAACACATGCTATCAAATCCGACTCGCAGTCCCTCGCCGCCCATTGTTCTTGCCACTGGGCTAGCCCCGTAAGGTTCAGAGTTCAGGGCTTAACCTCAAACCCCAGACAGAAGCCAAAGCCAAACGCGAAACCAGCACCGCGAACCGGAACCCTCAGCCCACGACCCAACGCTTGCATAAACCCTAAACCCTATACCCTAAGCCCTAAACCCTATACCCTGTGCCCTAAACGCTATATCCTAAACTTTCTGCGACACCGCCGTCCTCTGCGAAAGTCGTGGGCAGACCGACCTGCTGCCGTCCGACCACCTGAGGCATGGCTACTTCAAACAATATAGGGGAGTTTGTTTAAAGAAAGTAAAGGGAAATTGAAGATCATCCTAAATCAATGCCTGGTTCCTTATTAACATATATGTAGGGTTAATGGGTTGGAAATGCGCACTTTTGGAACATCATAAAAGGGGCTTACAAACACGGGTGTGAAGATGTATGAAGATTACACGTTTGCTTTTGGAGTTGGGGTTTAGCGTTCCGTGTTCATAGTCTTGCTGGAAAGCTGTTGACATTACCCGGCATGGGATTAGGATTCTGTAGTGTGAAGCCAAGCCTATATGTCGGGGCATCTTCGATGTATACTGGCTTCGTTCCATCAAAGCCGATCATCTTGACCAAATCTTCACTTCAACCAGCAGAACCCTGCAAAGCTTTCCGACATACAAAAAAACCCTAAACCCTGTAGACCCTTCGCCTCCAGGGTAGCTGCATAGGTGAGGTATCCCTCTCGTTGAACGCTGGACACCGCACGGAAATCCTTCGCGACCCCACGAATGAGGTCTGCGTTGAGAGGTATGCTGCACAGGTGTTGATTAGAGGAGTTTTGCGAGGGGTTTGACATGTTTCTTAAATGCTTCTGTTGCATTTGCTTGAAGGCTCATGGGCACTTGTAGCTATAAGCTACGGCGTTCTACATACAATTGCGACTCACGCTGTGTCACAAAGTTCGAAGCATGTATGATCGTCGCGACGTCTTTCCAGGATTGAGAGGTTGGACATACAGCATTATGTTGTTGTTGTTGCTGCTGCTGCTGCCGCTGTAGCAATACACAGTAATTGGAACCAACGCCAAGATCAATGCAGCTTACGAACTACGAAAAGAGAATGATTTCGGAGCCAACATCACCCTGTCTTCAAACAGGTTAACCCTAGAAGCCCCGGGCGTAAAGCCCATAAAACCCAGAACCCGCGGAGCGATCCGTGTCTGGCTGCAGAAGTCTCCTGGTAGAGCCGATCCCAATCACGCATGTAACGCCCATAGCCGTAGCTGCCTGCGGCTTGTAGAGGGTTCTATCGTTTGCGGCTCCAGAGCTTAGGGTTTTTGGGTTTGAGGCTTTAGAACTAGGGTTGCGGGCGCAAGACCTGATGCCCGGGTTGATGTTGAGCTCCCAGGATGTGCTTTCAGTTTCAATGACAGTAAACACATTACAGACTAACACCAACCCGAATTCCCAAGCTAGCGAATATAGGGGTTTGGGTAATTTGTAAGGCTCGTCTGGATGCGTTTCTTTATATACATATAGTCTACCCGAGTCCACCCCAAAACTTGTTCGGATTGTCAAGGCTCTATGCGAATTACGAGGCTAAGCGAGGCCGGTGATGTATTTGTTCGGGTTTTAGGTGGGTAAGAATATGCTTTCTCCCATTGCTCTGATTGTTATTATTATTTATGATTATGATTGTTATGATTCAAGCCTGCCATGTGAATCCGATGACGCCCACCTGCCCACCAAAAGCTACGAACGTCCTTGCGCTTTTTGAAACGACATGCACCGAAGCGGCTCGGGGGGTAGAGCTGGCCATTCTTAGGCGCAGCTGAGGTCTCCAAACTCGAACTTCAAAACCCGAACACAACTTAATCCTAAACCCTCAACTCTTCAACCAGACGAGACGGAAAGCGGACACTCTGAACCTCGTGGAGAATGAACCGCTTATTAATGGGGGCCTGAATGAGTGAAACAAGGTCTTGGAGCTACGATTTCTTCCCCAACATCAAATCCTGCCTTCTGCGAGGTTTCCGACGAAGCCTTAGTGGGAGGGCTGAAGCAAAAAGTTCTTAGAGCCAGAGGAAAGTCCGCTTTTCGATGGTTGGCAGTGGCTTAGGATACAGGGCTTTATGGTTTTAAGTTTCTGCGGAAGAGGGCTTTTTGCCTGCTGCATAGTTTGGTCACAAAGCAGGGTGATTCGCGACATATCAGTGAATTCACTGTCATACGGCAACACTTATCATGCTCGAATCTTGTCGCTGAGACCTGTTGTAAGCACAGCCACCTCATGTATTCATCTCGAGTATGTTGTCAGCAAGATGCCCGTCAGTTCATTGCAAACGGACATCTACAGAGGGCTAGTTTGGGGGACGTAGGCAGAAGCACCTCTGTGGTTAGTTTCGGGTCACCTCTCCTGCCGTCAGCGCCACCACTGCCCGTGCAACATGACGACAAGGGACAGGGGATTCAGGATGCTTGGGAGCCTTTTACACCTGGACTACGCATATGCCAGGAACAACCCTCAACCCCTGAACCCTAAACCCTAAGCCCATAATGGGTCGAAACACAGCTCAAGAGCTGAGCCATCTCCTCTTCCACAACCCCCTTGGGAAGCCTGGAAGCATAAACCTCTAAACCGACCCCTAAACCCCATTTTATAGAGCCTGAAAACCTAAAGCCTAAACCCCCAAATCGGTTTTTCAGCGTTTAGTGAGTTTGCACATTACCGAACTTGTGAGCGCGAACCCACAACCCTACGTCGTGGGCTGTAGGACCTGCTCCGTTGGCCTGAACAGGTGTTGTTGGTCCAAGCCAATCCTCTGAGAACCCAAAAACACATGAAAAATGTGCAACCTGATCTCCAAGACAGCCTCTTGGGGGAGTTCAGGGGTCTCAAAGATATAAATAAAGGAAATCAAAGTCACATCAGGGACCATCTAATTACAAGATGACACGCAAAATCGGAAGTACCTTGCCGAGCGTCGTTGCAAGGCCACAGTCAGCTCATCCAGGTTTTCGCTCGTAATGTCCTGCTGGGAGCTACGTGGGAGCTCCAGCAGGAAAGGGTCCCTGATTTCCAACCCTGCATACGACAATCCTTGTCATAAGGACGGAACCCTGCACTGAGGACCCCAATGTGGTTCAAGCCGTTTCCTTGGAAGCCCTTTCCAGATATCGGGCAATGCTACAAGTCTCTACAACTTAAACTCTACTCTCGGCGCCCTCAGGCACCAGAAACGTTAAAAACTAAACCCTGAGCCTGAATCTCAAATGCCAGACCCTGAATCTATAACTTTCTAACCTAGGGAGGCGGAGTCCTCGGCCCCGACGTGAATCATCCGCTTGACCTCTCAGTATAGAGCAAGTTGAGCTTACTGTGGCAAAGGTCACGGATTAGGGGCATCTGGGCTTAGGATTTAAAGTTTAGCGATTGTGCTGCCTGTCCGAATCGGAGATCCATGAAGATCCTGGGTGCTGCCAAAAAGGTAAGTTCCATCTGTTGCAGGGCTGCCCGGAGCCCTACAGCTTCGTGCCCGGAAGCCAGTAAGGCATGAATATGGTAATCCTTGAGTGCCAACCCTCAATCCCTTAAACCCTAACCCTAAAAATCCTAAGCCCTTAAACCCCAAAAGAACTGCCTTGTTCAAGATAGCCTGGCGGGCTGAGTTCGTGCACTTCCGTCGGAAGACCTGGGTTTCCGAAAGGCAGGTGCGGGAAGAACACCGGAGTGAGGGCTATTATGGGGGCCTGAATAATTAGGCAGAGCTGTGACGTTTGCTTTTGGAATATCCCCACAACGACACCTGCAAACGTGCCCTAATGTGGCGGTCGGTTTAGTACTAGGGTACCCCCCCCCCCCCGACCAAAAAGTTGCGGTCGGTTCAGTGCGGAACCGGTAGCCCCGGACAGGGGTCAGGGGTCTGAGTGGCAGGGAATTGGGAGGTGCCGGGGTTTGGGGGCTGGCTTGGGTGCAGGGTCTGCGGTTCTGCGCGACTGCGCCGTCGGAAGTCAGGGGGTCTGGGCCAGCGCCTGAAACCCTAAACCCTGAACCCTAGACCCTAACGAATCCTAAACTCCTAAACCCTATAACAAACCCTAAACCCTAAGCCCTAAACCCTTCCAAAGGGGGGTCGGTCCAGATTCGACCCAAAACTTAATTTTTTATGCAAACTTTAGTACTGGAGAGGCCTCTTTTGAGCTAGGGTCCAATCCCCCCCCCCCAATAATCAAGGTATACTAGAATAGTACAGTAGTAGTACAGTAGTAGTATAATAATAGTGCAGTAGTACAATAGTAATACAACAGTAGTACAGTGTTAGTACAATAATAGTACAGTAGTAGTACAATAATAGTACAGTAGTACAATAGTAGCACAATAGTAGTACAGTAGTAGTACAGTAGTAGTACGATTATAGTACCGTAGTACAATAATAATACAGTAGTAGTACAGTAGTAGTACAATAATAGTGCAGTAGTACAATAGTAATACAACAGTAGTACAGTGGTAGTACAATAGTAGTACAGTAGTAGTACGATAATAGTACAGTAGTAGTACAATAGTAGTACAGTAGTAGTACAGTAGTAGTACAATAGTAGTACAGTAGTACACTAGTAGTACAGTAGTAGTACCACAGTAGTACAGTAGTAGTACAGTAATAGTACAGAAATAGTACCAATGAGCAAAGCATAAAGCCAGTGAGCACATTCCCCCAATAAGCAAAGCATAAAGCCAGCGCCTGAAACCCTAAACCCTGAACCCTAAACCTTAACAAACCCTAAACCCTAACGAATCCTAAACTCCTAAACCCTATAACAAACCCTAAACCCTAAGCCCTAAACCCTTCCAAGGGGGGGTCGGTCCAGATTGGACCCAAAACTGAATTTTTTATACAAACTTTAGTACTGGAGAGGCCTCTTTTGAGCTAGGGTCCAATCCCCGATTCGGCGGTTCACCCTAGCAGCCCCCCCCCAATAAGCAAGGCATACAGTAGCAGTACAATAGTACAATAGTAGTACAGTAGTAGTACAGACTCCCATTCCTGACGCCCCAATAAGCGAAACAATTCTGCAAGAGATTTTGGGGCTTAAGGGCCAGGGTTTTAGGGTTGGGTGGGGGTTTGGGTGGGGGTTTAGATCGTGGCTGCCTTAAGATTGACCATCAGCAAATAGCACAGCCCCGCCACCAAAAAATCCCCCCAGCCCAAAAAAAACGCATTAATTAGACCGCCCAAATTTTTGGTACCGGTCGGAATTAGCCCCCGAGCCGACGCATTAAAGGAGCCCATATTCCTAAACCGACCGGCACATTAAGAGTAATTATGCACAGCACTCACCCAAACTTCAGCACCTCATAAAAATTGGAGCCTCGACAATGGAGAGCAGGTCCACGGGATCTTGCGGCCTAATTATTTTCGTGAACTGTCATGCGCCACCTAGTTTCGGAATGCTGTTTCGAATTGTTCAGGCCTACAGTCCCGCCCTTTCCGAAGAGCTGCCCACACAGCAGCGCCCTCCTTGCCCTCCACACGTTCGAAGAGCGACCTGACTTCGGGAAGCTTGAATCTTCACGCGCTGGGATTTAGGGTCCTCAACTCGTCAGATCTGGTTCTGTTCCAATCTTGGATGTTGTCAATACTGGTGAGGCTCTGGTTGGTGTTGCGAACATTCCGATTGTCTCGCTTCTTCGGTTTTGTCATTCTCAGCGCTGCTGCTACCATTTCTGTAGAAGAAGACATCTAACCTGTTCTTTTGAACTCGGCAACAAGTATCAACACCGGGGACCGAAACCATAGCCAGTACATCCCTACACCCCAAAGTCAAAAATCGAACTCTGCAAATAGGACCCGTGAACGCATCACACGCACAGTCCTAGACGCAGAATAGCAGAGTTTCTTAATTGTTACACTGTGGTAGTATAGTCATGCAAGGACGGACCGTGGGGCAGAATGTAGTACTTCAGACCGCTAGAAGAAAATCCTCAAGCCGTCAAGCGGGCCGAGGTGCTTGGAGGAGGCCGGCCAATCAAAGCGGCTAAACACTTCGTCCGGGATCCAAGTCCAAGTCCCGTAGAGGGAGACATCCTCGAAGCTTTCCAAGGGGTTTAGGTTTTAGGTTAGGGGGTGGGGGGGGGGTTATTAAAGGGTTTCTAGGAGGGTCTTATGAAGTCTAATAGTTAAGGTTCCATGGGGCTGTCTAAGGGCTTTTTGTTTTTTATCAGGCTTGCGAGTCTCGGTATTAGGGTCTTGGGCTGTGGGGCTTCCTGTTTGTAGCGGTGTAGCATTTGAACTGAGGCATTCGGCTCAGGGTTCAGGGCGCGGATGACCGGGTTTCTGTCAACTACCAATCCCTGAAGCACCATTAACCATATTAAATCCATATTACACAAGGCGATCGAACTTCCAGGACCATACTGCCGATTCAGCCCCAAACCCAGGCCCTTCCAGCTGGGCGCTGAGCAGCTTCCTAAACCCTAAACCCGAAGCCCTAAACAGTCCCAAACCCTAAACCCCAAACCCAAAGCCCTTGAACCCGAAACCCTCAAGCCCGTTTCCCTTAAACCTAAACCCGAAGCCCCTGAAACCCGAAACCCTGTTGTCCATCAGTCGCAAATCCCCAGCCGGGTCACGAAAAGCACTGAGAGATCCGGCCGATCCACCCCGACATGCGTCGCCAAGCGTTCTGCAGCAAGGAGGCTCATGTTCTGAATCAAAGTGCCTCCCAGCTGTGCTGCAGGGTTTGGAAGTTCAGGGTTTAGGGTTGTGACTCAAAGAGCCTCAAAGCATCGCTTTTTACGGGGTTAGGGGCAGGGTTTAGCGCATGTTCTAGGGGGTTGTTGCGGTTGTTGCTAAGGAAGGGGGCCCTTCTGCGCAGCAGTTTGGATAGTTGATGTCGTTAACCCCAGAAAGGCAGACTCGCGTGGGGGTTTGACAATGATGCTACCTCGTCGGGGTCCTTCCCTACAGTAGGCAAGATATGTGCACCGTGGCCACTGTCCGGCTGGCTCCGTATCCCCACAAGATCATAACGTTTGCAAACTGCTTCCCCAATACCCCGCGAATGATCTGACGAAACCTTACTTCACCCGTCCCCCGGCAGGTTCGGATTACTCATATACATCTTATAACTGTACATACATAACCCAGTTATGACCGGGGTAGCAAACTTGGCGGACACATTATTGGGCTTTACAGTTTCCATTTGCGCACAATTAATGTAGACCCTTGGTTAATGACTTCCATGTCTCAAAGGGCCCTGGTTAATGAAATCGCGACTAAGAATCCTTTCCGGGAAACTAAAAAGGAAAGACAGGGCACCCGGATCCCTGGAGTGGTAGACCGTGCAATCCAAGTCAGAGGTGAGCAGCCTCCCGGATTTGCTGCGGAGCTCTTTTTAAGGGCTCCACAAGTCTTTCCCTCCCACCTAGCAAAAACCAGCCCGCATTGCAGGGTATCTCCGAAGCAACAAATAAGGTTTAGGATTTCGACGCAAGGTTTAGGATTTAGGATTTAGGATTTGGGGTGAAGGGGAAAGGGTCCGGATTTACAAGGGTTTGGGGAGAGGTGTCGGAGTTTGCGGGGTTTCTGATGCCTTTTGGCCTTTGGCTAAGGGATTGGGGTTCAGGGTTTCGGGTTCAGAGATTTAGGTGTACGGGTTTCTTGGGCTTCGGCTTCGGGATTTGCGGCTCCCACACGATTGAGCGTCATTGCGGGCATGATAGGAAGGGGCTATCGGGCATGAGGGATTTGCAGGGGCAGCCTAACTTAGCAGGAACTGTGGGGCTGAGGAAAGAGATTGCCGGATTACCATTCCCTTCGCGCAGAAACCTTCGTGTGTCCGACGCCTGCTTGGACTTATACAAAGTTACGAGTACTATAGGGACATAAACAATTACCTATACTATCTTGGGGGTTCCTTATTATATTGACAATCCAATTTTCAAGGCCCCTATATTGCCTTACTGGGCTTATCACTTCCACTGTTCATGGGCTCTTTGGGACTATGTGTAGGGTGTGATACGAGGCATTGAAATATTGCTAAACTCCTATCGGGTCCGCAATTTTCCATTGTTAAGAGACGAGCATCAAGAGGTAGACATGTCATTCCTGTTCGCGTCTCTGCAAAACGCTAATACTGCCGCATTTGCGTGCCGCTTTGTGAAAAAATCCGGAATCGGCGCGAAAGGCTGCTTTGCGTCATCGGTCAGGGCACAGGGAGGCAATGATTGCGGCCGTCGGGTGAGGAGATGAGGCTTCGATGAGGGGAGTGGGATGCAAAGAAAGCTTGCATGAGGGCTTCAGGAAGATTTTATTCTGAAGCCAGCCATTCCAAGCGCAAGCGCAACCTTAAACTCCCCCAAAAGCCCTGCAACCTCAGATCCACAAACCAAAACCCAAAAAGCCTAACCCCTTTAGCTTAAATCTACATCAGCTCTTTGCACTTGAGTCGGCCCCTAGCTCCGAAATACTACTTCTGAGGGTTTCGGCATAAAAGTCCACCAACCCGTAGCCATAAACCCAGCCGCTAGGTTCCCTGGCCCAAAAGTAGGTTGACACCTATGGAATATAAGGATTCTATGTAATGTACCATAGCGACAAACTGAAAAGCTTCTCATCCGACTTCTCCAGTACCCCCGCCCCCTTCTCAGAAAAACAACATCCAAGCGCCCAAACTTCCTGAATCCCTGGACAGACAGGTTCCTAAACGACCTGAAACCCTAAACCCAAACTTCCTAACACCTCGACGAGTGCCTAGATCCCGGACAGGTCATGTCGTAGGCTTTGCAAATCGGGGAGTCGCAGCCGACATCGTCCCTAAGAGTTTGGAAGTCAGCATGGCAATAAGGATTCAGGCTTGAGAATCTGAGCAAGCCTACGCCCTAAACCCAAACCGTAACAGGGATTGAGTTTCGCGTTTGGGCTTTGGGGCGTTCGGTTCAGAGCTCTTCTTCAGGTTTCGGGCTTCGGGGATGGGATCTAGCCATTTTGCCTCGCACTTGGGTTCTGCCTACATGTGCGAGGTAGTTCCTAAACTGCCATGTAAAAACTTTCGATGCAGGAAGATGCGCAGGAACCCTGGCTACACCCCCAGACCTTGCACCCCAAGCTGAAAGCCCCAGCCTCTAAACCCCCGAGCCCCCCTGAATCCCAACATGGCTTGAGGGACCACAGCACCCAAAACCTTAAGCCCTCACATAGACCCCCAAGCCCCACAACCCCCAAACCCTGAACTCTTAATCAACACTCTTTTTTGCAAAACAACGCCAAGCCCTAAGCAACACTTCCTGTTGCTTCGGGTTGTAAAGGGGGAGGCAGACGTATGCCGCCACGTGGCGATGTCTGAAGATGCCGCGAGCCTTTGCCAACGGTGCCCCAGAGCCCAGTTTACGAACATGTATACATACACTTATTCGTATGCGGATGTATACTTCTGTTTCCCTCACACTTATGTATATGCATTTTTAACTTGTTGCTTATTGGTATTCAATGTGTATTGCCATTTATCGAAAATCATGTTTTTTAATACTTGCCTATACGTATGTGTGTATACACATGTAGATTTATTCGGAGCTTAGGATGGAGGGAGGGAAGAGCGGGGCAGCGGGTTACTGGCAATGTTTATAAGGACTTCGTAGAGTCTGAGGGAAAGAAGTAGCCGTGTCGAGGGCTGCAGGCCTGAAGGTTACTAGATATACGACGAAACCAGGTCGAAACGTTTGGGGTTGACGATCTACTATTTGCTTAAGAACCCCCCAAAAAATGAAAAATATATTCTTTATGGGGGTAATATAGGGATTATTGTTGTTATTTTTTGGTGTTTCTTAAGCAAATAGTAGTGATGCAGCACTGTGACAAGAGGGATAACCTTGTTGCGGCTCAGGGCCTATGCTTCTGGGTTGAACGCTTGAGGCTCGAACGAGGTGCAAATCGAGACGCCCTGATTGGATCTGCAAGCAATTGGTTGCCACACAATATGCAACCTTCGGCACGCAGCGTGAAACCACAGCAAGCTGGCGAGTCGTAGACCCTAAGTTTGGGGTTTGTTGACCAGCCGAGAAGCAGCAGAACAAATTCTGCATGAAGCGCTCGCGGAATGCTCCGTAGTGCTTGAGTGGCCTCGAATGCGGCTCTACATTTACCTAGCCAATCCACCGGTTCAGGTCAGTCTCCAGAGTTCGTTGAATCCAGAAGTCACCTGGTGGTTAAACTCCCAGGTACCCATAGGCTCCATAGTAATTCCTTTTTGGGATTCTCTCTCTCTCTCTCTCTCTCTCTCTCTCTCTCTCTGCCGTTGCATCCAGAGGGTCTAGCAAAAAGGATTACCTCATAGGATTCTAAATATAAACCCAAAAAAGGAACTACTATGGAGCCTATGGGTAGTGAAGGGTCCTGGCCAAGCGATGACCTGAGGACCCGGGCCGCTGTGGGTGCTGTGGTCTCTTCCGGGCATGGCAGCTCTGAAGGGCTGAAGGTTGAGAGTTCACGATGAATCTGGGGACGCTTGTTGCCAAGGGCTCGTCCTACATCTTGAACCCAAAGGAACATACAGCAACGTACTAGTAACATACCAGTCTAACTTAGACACCTATCTGAAAGGCTTACACGCCACGCTTGTGTACGGACAGCAGCCTCCTGTTTCGGTACTGACTGACCCTTCCATGCGACTATGCTACCCGGAACTCAACAAACCCCAAAACCACCCATCCAAACCGTAAACCCTACATCCTAAACCCTGAACCCGAAGCCTAACCCGAAGCCTTAAGCCCCAAGACACTCAAGCTTGCCGAGCTGCCTCTGACAAACAGTGCTCGACCCGCTGCAGTGGCCATACCTCGGGGTTTGACGGGCTTAGCGTATATACGATTTAAGGCTCTTTCCGTTGATGAGCTGCTTTCTCTTAGCAACTCCCTTTTGCCCCTAAACATCTCGCTATTGCGCTTGAAACCGCGACCATAAGCAAGGCACTCGTCCTTCAGCTTGGCCCAATCCCAATTCTGCCAGGGCGTGCGCGAGACCTTTCCAACCCCACACTGGTTTAGGAAAGTTAGGAGTTGGGTTCAGGGTTTAGGGAGAAGGCCTTGGATTTTGTTAGGGCTTGGGATTTCGGATTTGGGGTTTAGGGTGCGGGGTTTAGGCTTGAGGCCACAACAACAAACCTTCCCGTCTTCAATGACTGAAGAACCTTAAACCCCTAAACCCTTTTGCTGCAGGCTTGCTAGCAAGGACGCCTGGTAGTTTGCCGCTCTTCCGCCAGTTAGAACCCCTAAAACCGTCTATAGGGGATCTATAGTAGGGTTCTATGATATAGGGGCCTTAATAATTAGAATAGGGTTCTGGGCACATTATACTATAATCATAATAAGGAACCCCCGAAATAGTATAGGTAATTATTAAGGCCCCTATGGTAGGGATTTTATACTAAGGAACCCGAAGCAGGCCTTCTTCCAGCCCTGGAGGAAATCGGAGATGCTCTCGTCAAGGCCAGCGCAATGGTCGACTTCCTTCTCTCATCCAGAGACTCCAATATCCCTTAATTAAGGAATATTCCTTAAACCATATTAAGGATCCTATTATAATTTAAGGTATATTCCTTAATTAAGGGATATTGGAGTTTCTGGACCCCTTTGGGCTTTACGCTCTCGCCGACTGGTGCGAGCCCAAAGGGGCTTAGGGTTTGGGGTTGAGGGTTCAGGATTGTGGGTTTAGGGGTCAGGGTTAAAGTAATGTGGGGTTCGACTTTCATGGCTTCCTACACTCAACCCCAAGCCCCTAAGCCTCTGTCCTGCGGCTTGCAGTGGTAGGAGAAATACTGAGAGGCTTCGTGTGGGCTATCCGCGTTGTGGCCATCGTCTCGACTGGTCCTTGGGATGCAGTGCATTCAAAGCTTGTCCCTACACCGCTTTTTGCACAGACTTGTATATGCCCCCTGGATATCAGAGCCCAAACCCTGAACTAAACCCCAAACCCTAATAGGCATCGGGCTTCGGTCCTGCAGAGTGACACTGGTACCTAGAGGCCCAGGGGACTTAGTAAGCAGGTTATAAGTAGGGTTATACGTACCCTAAATGGAGTTACCCCAATTATAACCCTACCACCCTAAACCCCTCAACCCTAAAACCCTAACACCCTAAACTAACCCCACTTATAACCTACTTACTAAGTCCCCTGGGCCTCTAAGTGGTCGTGGCAGGGCGTCGGTCTCCGGAGCTTTCTGATGTCTTCCACAATGCTCCACTGTGCTGGCTTCCAAGCCGGGAGTTTCCGAAAATCGGGGATCCTGATATAGTACCCTAAATAGTAGGTCCTTATGATAAGGGACCCCAAAATAAGGTACCCCTAATTTTGGGAAACTCTAAACCCTAAACCCTAAATCCCTTTAAAGGAACCCTTATAGATCCCTTTAAAGGAACCCTTTAAGATCTCTTTAAAAGAGCCCTAAACCCTAATTTCGGAAACTTCCAAGTTAAATCCGAAGCACTCGAGAGCAAAAGGATGCTTTCGACAACTCCCAGGGCCCCGAACCACTTTCCTGAACCCCTCAGACCCAACTACCGACTCCTGAGAGTCTAGGGTTCTGGTTCTTCACCGAAGCCTCTAAGTACCCTAATTGGGGTTAGAAGTAGTTATAAGTAGAGTTACCTTGGTTATAACTTATAACCTTAGCTACTAACTCCCATGATACTTTAAGTAGTCCCTATAAGCCCTGAAGCTTCTACCCTAAAGATTACCTGCATATACACAGAATGTCCTAGACTCCTAGACCTTCCGGGCTCTTCAAGGCCTTCGGTTTCAGAGTTCCCGGTCTTGGGTCGATTAGGGTTGTTGAGGGCGCCCTAAACCCGGTCAAAACCGAGTGCAAGAAGCAGAAGCTCAAGCCACCGGTTCGCCGTGGCTGCCCACCATCCGTTGTCTTGCCTCACAGAGCTTTGGGCTTTGGGGTTTCGGGAATTGTGGGTCAAACGCCTCAGGGTATGGGGGTTTGCGTGGAGCTTTTGCCAGAAAGTCCAGTACCCCCAAGCAGCTGCTGCTCCAGCGGAAGGACGGTCAAAACCAAGTCGTTCGCATAACTCCCCGACGGCACTGGACAATGTTGTTGTTCAGGGCTTCGGGTGTAGAGAACACGCGACTTGTGCTGGGTTCGGCGCCTTCCAACTTCCACAGCGAAAACTATCCATGAACGCCAGCCCAAACGCAGAAGAACTCTCAATCGGGGAAAGGCAAGGGGCACAGAGCCCAAAATTGTCCAAGATCCCTCAGACAACGAGTGAACCGAAACACAAGCCCTGTAGAATCCACGGCTGCGTTCGCAACTCACTCGTGAATCAAGCTCCTAGAAAGTTTCACGGTTCACCTTTTGTGCGCAATGCGACACTAAACCAAAACCCTGATTCCTTTTTACACAGGAACTGCAATGCACTAAGCCCTCCCTAAACCCTGAATCCGAAACCCTAGGTCTAAACCCGAACCCCAAACCCTAAACCCCTAAATCCTGAACCCTAAACCCCTAAACCTTAAACCCAAACAAGCAGCTTATGCTGCAAGGAAGGAAAGTAGAAGCCGAGGCCGTGGTCGCCGTTGTCGGTAACTGCGGACAGCCTGGCCACAAATCAAAGGGGAAAAGGAGGGACCCTTAATGGGGACCCCTACCCTTTCATGGGCTATATAATGGGTATATAATGGCTATATTATGGGTATATACCTAGGGGTCCCTATTAGGGGTCCCTCCTTTTACCCTTTGAACAAAGAGATCTGCAGCACGACTATGGGCTTATGCTTATAGGGTGTATGGGCTTAATGGGTTAATGGGTTTTAGGGTTTAAGGCTTCTTCCCTCAGGGTTTAAATGGGTTTGAAGGGATCGAAGGTTTCAATTCTTAACGATTTCGTGCCGCAGGTTCGAAGACTTAAAGGTTTAAAGGGTTCGAGTGTTTAGGGTTGGTTACGGGGGTTCTCTAGTTGGTCTATAGGCTGTTTATAAGGGTTCAAGAGGGGCTATCGATTTCAGGCGCATAATACATATATATATATATATATATATGTATGTATATATCTGTAGGTCTAAGAGAGGGATCTAGCTTATTCGTATGGAGTTTGTAGGATACATTATGTAATGCAGAAACAGAAACTAAACATACACTTATCTTAAGGAACGCCATGGGGTACCAATGTACTATCACCCTGAACCGGCCCCTATGCGCAGCCCCAGGCTCCCTAAGAACGCCGCGCTTAGCTATGCGAGCCGCAGTCCCCAACCGAATATACGGCTTCAGGGGCTTTAAGGTTCGAAGCTTAGGGTTAAGGATATTGGAGTTTGGCATGTCAGTGGGATTGCCCTGCTGGGGATTGGGAGGTCTGGATTTCGAGTTTTGGCTGGCTTGTGCACCCTGTTCATACACTGCAGTTGTGATTCCGGCTCGGGGTTCAGAGCACAGCCATAACCATAGGCCCCATAGTAATTCCTTTTTGGGATTACCTTATGGGATTCTAAACAGGAAGCCCAAAAAGGAACTACTACGGGGCCCATGGGAAACCCCCAATGCCCACATGAAGCCCGAGCCTCGGGGCTAATGGCTCCATGCACCAGCAGCGGATGTGGGAAATGTTCGGGTTCTCTCCATCGTCGCCTGGCTCCCAGAGCCATGAAGCCTTAAATTCTAGGGTAGGGGTCTCAGTATATCCCCATATCGTCGTTATCGGGGCTTCCAACAACCCCGGCACAAAGCTCGATGGATCACGAAGGCCCGGTGTTCGCTCTTTGAAGCCCTATAAACAACCCTGTAAAAGCCTGGAAGAACCCTGCTGAGCCGAGTTCAAGGCCTAGGGCTCTTAACACGAATCCTACCAAGAGGTTCAGGGTCTAGGGAGTTTAGGGCTTAGGTCAACTCAGCGGCTTCTTGATCAGGCTCCTGCATTAAACCCGAAGCCCCCAGGCCCCGAACAAGCCCGCGAAGCCTAAACTACCCTATGTAAACCCTTGTAAGCCCAAAAGCCCTTATTTAAATGCTGAGCTGCAGCAGCTCCCATCGATACTCCGTTTCAACAGATTCCCCTTGTCGTCGACAGCCATGGCCCAACCTCAAGGTTCACAATATCGGAAGCTTGAGGACATCTAGGGGTTCGAAGCAGTCCTTATGGTTTCGGAAAGTTGATGGTTTAAGGGTTTTAGGGTTCAGGATATAAAATTTCGGGGTTGGGGCTTATAGGGCTTGGCCATGAATTGTTTACGAATCAGGGGGCATCTATATCAAGGGTATTCATGGGTCCTTTTTTGTCACTCGTGCTCGAACAAGTCAGACGAGGTTTCGGTGAAACTTTACAGCTAGTGGGTCCTTACTATGTGACAATCCCACATAGAGCTTTACCCGATTCGAGAAGAGATAGGTTTGCAACTGCCGAGAGCCCATCCCAAAGAACATTCCCAAGCCGGTAAGTAACGACTTGATGGGATTTTGACCATGGAGGGTCCATTGCTAAGTTCCACATCTCTACGGGTCTGTTGTTTTTTGTGTTTAGGCTTCCCACGCGCAGCTCCTTTGCGGACATGTTGTCTATGTCGGCCTCTCAGCCAGAAAGCGAAACACCAGGTAATGATGCTTCAGTCACAATAATAAGTAAGAAACCCAGTACATAGTTTGAGACTGTTCTTTGGTGCCCAACTCAGGGGGTAAGGTGCGCTCCCAAGGTTCTAGCGACTGCTAGATAACCGGCAGCCTCAGGCCTAAGCATCCGAATGCGGACCTCACCACCCAAAACTCAGAGCCTCAAAACCGAGTGCAGGACGCTTTCCACCCAAAAGCACGACAATCCCTAAACCCTAAACCCCTAAACCCAAGCCCCAAACCCTGGAATCCCCCAGCCGTTGTGCCTTGATTCGCCTTCAGATCCTTCAAAACGGATCCGTGAGGCTTCTCCCAGAACTCTCTGCCCTCATTGTCCTCCCCGGAGATTCGCTGTTCACGGTTCCCAGGTTCTTAGGAGGGACTTTGGGGGGAATGGGTTATTGGGACAGCTGCCAGGGACAAGGTCCACCCGCAACCCGAAGCCCCAGCAGCCGGGATCTTATCGGCTCTTGAAAGGAGATTTAGATCTATAGACCCCTAATTGATAGTGTGTTATAAAGCAGTGTTCTATAAAGCACTACAAGCCCTAATTGATAGCAAATTCAATTAAATATCTCAACAAGAGCCCAGTCTTTCAAAGCTTGCCTCTCAATGCATTTCAAGCCCTCGGAGTCCGGATACCGGCGCCTAAACCCATTGAACCCCCAAAACCCCAACCCGAAACAATGACCTTAAACCCTTAACCCTAAACCCCTAAACCCCGAAACCATGACCTTAAACCCTGAACCCATAACCAAAACCCCTCTTTTGGTGTTGTGACACTCACACTCGGACAAAGCCTGGCAAGGTCTGCAGCGATACTGGTCTCTCTCGTTGACAAGGCTATCTGGAGGGTTCACGGCTTCGGAGATTATTTGGGGTCGGGGGCTTGATGACGGCTTCGGGGTCGAACTTTAGGTTAAGGTGTGTTGGGAAGATTAGGATTTCGGGTCTATGACTTTAAGCTCTTGTTCTTCTTATTTACTCTGGGGCACAGGGTTCGGCACAGAGCCGATGAATATCCTGTCCTCGACATCCAATCGCTAAGCCCTCATCAAATGCCCTTTGCCTGGCATCCTCTAAATGCTGGTAGATCATAAACACTATAATCCAAACAGAACTGCCCGCAACTTCAAACACAAAATCCCCCCGCACAAATGAAGACGGGGTCATAATGAGTCCACTTGCCATGCGTGTTCGTAAGGTGGTAGTCGCCCGGCGACCTTCGCCACACCTTCGTGCGCTTGTAGGCATAAACAAACAGGCACCCCTATGAGCTGTACTCTTACGGTCCTATGGTTGCAGAATAAGCCGCGGGAGTAGCAACACTTGTTACAACAAAATGAATGCGTAAATCTTAATCTGAATTTACAGTGTAACCCGGCTGAAAAAATTGATTCCAAATTTTGGCTGGAACCCACAAGTAAAATACTTTAACTCCTACTTTTGAACCATAGACAAAAAATCTTCTTGATAACAAAAAGTGAAGAAAACTGGCTCCTAAGGAACACCAAGCTGACACGGTCTTCCATGTCGATGCACCACAGCCAGGTTCCTCCCTCGTTGTTGTCCTTAGAAGAAGAAATCTGTGTTGGGGCGTTTAGGATTTAGGGTACAGGAGTGGGGTTTACTCTAGGTGGGGTTTACGGCTTAGAGCTAAGGAGTGCCTTGTTGGCGAAGGGAAAGGGGGCGCTCTTAACATCAGGAATACCTCATGGCGGGGTCTTCGGAGCCAGGATCCTAGTGTAGTTAGGGTTGAGTTGTGGCCCTGACTCCTTGGAACTTCCATTTGGGAGTTTCCGATAATGGGGGACCCTAATTATAGTACCCTAGATAGTAGGATCCTTATGATAAGGACCCCACAATAAGGTACCCCTCATTTTCGGAAGCTCCCATTTAGATCTGGGCAGTGGTCTCAAAGGCAAGTCTGGTCACAAGGGGCTTTGAAAGCTCCCCCGGGTCTTCCCTCACATCGAACCTACATGAGGAAATCTTCGGGCTTAAGATTTGGGCTGGAGGCATTGGAGCTTCTAGTTCCTGGCTTTCAAGGGTTTTCCTTGCTCTCCGGAGGCTTGAAGAACCTTGAAATTTGGTAGGAGTTAGGATTAGGGAAACCCGTGGGGACATAGACCCCCTCAATAAAGGTGCCTTTTAAGAAAGTCAGAAGTCGGGTTTCAGAAGGGCTCACTTTAAGGGGGCGCCCTAATACTACCTAGGACCTGGGGGTCCTTCAGTTTTGATTCTCTTGAGAAGGACCAAAGACTCGGGGAAGAGGCCGGCTGCCCTGCGTCGCGAGACCTGAACCTACACCTCAAAGAAGAAATGAGCCCTGAAAGAGCTTCAGGTTCATATTCATATAGTATATAGGAACCCATTCTACAGGAGCCCCAAATGGGTTTCAGGTTCATATAGCCCGAGAAGGGTTTGCGGTTCATAAAACATATAGGGATTCAGTCCATAAGAGTACAGGACCACAGGACCCTTACGTTTAAGGGTCTTTTGGTCCTGAAGACAGGCAAAGGGGCTAAGTCAGGTTTGGGGTTGAGCCTAGCCACGCAAAGTGCCATGCAGTCGCTCGGGCGACAGTCATACCGGAAAGCGACGAAGGAAAACGACGACAACGACTACTCAATCGTAGATAATTCCATGACTATGGGATATTGGGATCAAGAAGACACCCTGAGACTCCAAACTCCCAAACTTACCATTGCCACGCCAGGGTCTGCTGCGATCAGCTTGAAAGCGATGTCAGGTGGACCATCGACACGCCTTGGCGGGGGGCTTTTTTTTGCCTCCTTGGTACACTTCTCGATTTGTGCGTGTCATCCTTGCGCAGGGGTCATGCTAATCTTCTCTGTATCGTTCCGATTTTATCGGATGATCCCCGAAGGGAATCCTTAGGTTTCGGGCTTCTTGCATTTCATGCCTCAGGCTTATCGACAGTATTGACCATTTGCAATCGACTCGCACAGACCGAAAAAAACACCATAGCATACCATAACGATCTGCAGCAGCGCCACCCTCATAACCGGCATCACCACCCCTTTTGCTACAGGACTCAAGTCTAGCCAGACCTCAACCAGCAATCATCTTGGCATCACCACCTCAACCACTAGACCCTCAACCTGAAAATGTGAACCCATTGAAGCCCTAAAGCCCTATCATCAACACCTTCGTGCTCCTCATCTTCTAATTATCTGTAGAGCAGCAACCAACGGCTGTGCTTGCCCACATCACCTCGGGCTTCACCAGCCGCAACCGTGACAGGATTACAGGCCTTAATAATACCGGGGCCGTAAGGATTAGATTAGGGTGCTGTTGTAAGTTGCTGTAGTATACTTATACAGAGACCATAGGCGGAGTTCAAAATTACAGCTTAAATTACTGCGGCCCCTACAATACGTTCTCTGAATGATTTGGGGCTTCGGCTGTCGGTGTCAGAGCTTGCTTCACCGCGGTTAACCATTCTGGCCAGGGACGCGGAAGACCTACATCTAAACCCTAAACCCTAAACTCTAAACCGCAGCTACAAGTCCGAATACGAGTGCGAGTACTAGGGCGAGACGTGTAATTACCGCTGGTGCTACCGGTTGAATATAAATCCTGCATTACCCATACTAAGGAATTTACCATTTTTCCCACAGTTTAAGGTCCACAAGGTAATGCAGGATTTAGATCATCAACAATGCACAATCCCATCCTTCAAGGGCAGCGACTCGTCCTCGCTGGGACTACGTTGCATGCTAGTTTGCGAACTGCATCCAACACCAACCTCACAGAACAGAAAGCCTCCCTGCGACAAACACTGCTGAAGCTACAAGTTGGAGCTGCCAGATAGTTTAAGCGCTCACTCTTGGACATGCCCGGCGAGGTTTTTGGTGACTGGTGGGCTGGAGGATTTTGAAGGGGCTAAGGGTCCTAAGTTCTAAGGCGCTGTCAAGCTGTATGGTTTAGGCTACTGGTTTAGGCTTCAGGGGGAAAGGATTCAGGAAAATGTCATCCCTTCATCACACGGCACCAGAGCCGACAAACTCCTAAGCCCTAAGGCCTCTTGGGGAAACCTCGAAGCCGACATAAACCTCCGAAAAACTTTGAATACTAAGCCAGTGCGGAAAAAAAACTTCTGAAAATCTATAGAAGCAATTAAGCCGAAACCCCTGCACCCCTAAGCCCAAAACCGCCAGTATCTTAACCCTAAACAAGAAAACACCAGAACTCAAATCATCGGGTGTAATCATCCTTGGACATATAGTAATTATAACAAGCACAATTTATATAAGTCCGAAGGAACATGCAGAACAACTGCGCTTTAAGCCCGAACAGCCTGCTGGTCTCCAGAGGATGTAACCGTCGTTGTCCAAGCCCCACATGGCGTCGTCGTCGGCATCCAACTGCACAACGTTGCCGCCTCAAGGTAGAAGTTCAGAACGCTTCGGGGTTCGGGTTCTGGGTGGTTGATCCTCGGTTTTCCTCCCATTGCCAGCGATTGTCTTTTGCAGACCCTTTTTTGACACTGGGCGCAGACCCTAAACCCCAAACCCTGGCCCTAAACAAGGAAAAGGGGTGGGGTTTGGGGATGAAGGTTTTGTGTTGCAGCGCTCACGCTCCAACTCTCCCGGCGAGGCCGAATGCCGACTTAGTGCGTTGGGTGAAAGGGTTTCGGGTGCAGGGTTTAGGGCTTAGGGAGCTAATGCTGAGTTTCGTGCTTGGGGCTTGCGGTTTAAGGACTCTGGAGCGCTGTGCTTGGGCCCTGTGGCAGTTGCTGAGGTTAGGGTTGATAAGAATCGTTGTTGGGTCGTTCTGGGCATTCACATTGCTGGGGTCGCGGAGCTTCCACTCCGCACCCGCGATTCGAAAAGGCTGCCGACATGACAATATAGGGGTCTTAGAATAATTAGAATAGGGTTTGGGGTATATTATACTATAACTCTAATACGGAACCCCTCCCACAATAGTGTAGGTAATTATTAAGGCTTGTTTATTGGATTGCTGATGAAATCGGCCTCCGAACCAGTCAATCTTCCTTTTTGAAAAAGGCCCCAAACTTCTGAATGGTGGATGCGCGCCTCTCATCATGTGCCACCATACCTGGGGGTTAGTTTCAACATTCTTCGCAGCTGCTAGAAAACACAGCGCTTCAGTTCAAACCAGCCCTGAAAAATCGCCGCTTTGCCGGGCGTCCCTAACCCTAAACCTTAAGGCGTCAGTCCCCTCTCCCAGAGCAGGCTTCGTTAACTTTTCGTGGTACTTCGTGCTACTACAAGATTCCCAAGAACTCACCCAGAACCCCAAATCCAAAAGGGCCGCAACGAGCACGCGTAACGTAGCTATGATGCCCATTAGGTGAAGAAGGACAACCCTGACGCCAAGAACTTGAGACGGCCACCGTTTTACACCTGGACTACGCATATGCCACCTAAACCTTAAACCGTTCAGAGCTTACGGCATATCTGTATGATATACTGCACAGACGGCCAAGCTCCGACAGCTGAGGCTTAGGATGGTACGGTTTAGTGGTGGAGGATGTCGGGGTCTAGGCGATTATCGGATTCCAGCTTATACGATATTCCGGTTTACGATACTGGGGTTTGGGATATTCCTAACCTGAACTTAACTTAGACCCCCAGCGAAAGCTGTTTCTTAAGGATTATAATAACCAAAGATCAAAAAACCATTTCTAAGTACCCCTAAGATTCGAGTTTGGGAAATTAGGTTGAGGCCCAGGATCCGAGGGTCAGTCTGCGGAGTTCAAGACACCGGGTTTGTGCCTGAGGTTCAGGAATTATAAGGGTTCCTCAGGGTTCCTTTAAAAGGTTACAAGAAGGGTACTATAGTAAACCCCATAAAGTTGGAAACCGGATTAAGGCCAAATAGTGCTGGGATTCCCTATACATTACTCTGAAGGATTGAGGCTATGTGGTTTCCAACGTTTGGGCTTCTACTGTATAAGGTTGCCTTTTAAATGGGCTCTATAAGGGTGTAGGGTTTTCGAAAACGACGCTCCCACACTCGGACTCTCCAGATGCGGCGCAGGATCCGCCATCAGCTTTTCAAGCAGGAACCAGGCAGCTTTCAAGCAGGAAACAAGCGACATGCGTACTCGTGTTAAGATCGAGTTAAGTAAAGCGAAAAACTCCCACCTACCTGAGTTCAATGACGCGTGTCGCCGGTCAGAACGAAATCGGGCAAGACAGTCCCAGCCAACCAATAAAACAATCAAACAACGCAGTACCGGCAGAAACACGAGCTTAGTCGAGATATTGTGGACCCCTGCGGTTACAGGACTTTGCCACAAACGGCCGTTCCTCAAAATGGCCTAAATTCTGGCTTCAGCACACAGAACGAAATCCGAAGATCATCATCGATGCTCATCAAAGCAGCAGCGTTGTCGAACTCCCCGCAGTAATTGGGAGCAGAGAAAACCGTTACGACTTGCCTTCCTGCAAAGAACTCGTAGCCGTCCTCCACAACCTGATGCGCTCTCGCAATAAGGTCCAAATTGTGCTTTTTCAAGAAGGCTTTCACTACTTCCGGGCCAAAGGTGAATGAGACACCTCGTTCGTTCTTTCCCCACGTCTCCACAGCGGAAGACGGATCCGACCACAGTAGATCTGCAAGAAGACCTGTGTCTTCAGGTTCGACCGGGCGTCGGATTTGCTGGATCTGGTCGAAGCTAGTCCTGGGTGTCGGCTTTGTAACAGCGGTTACTAATTTATCAGAATTATTACTATGATTAGTATTTATTATTCGCAATATTGTTTTCTAGTAGTGTTACTAGTAGTACTGTTATCATTGCCACTGCCATCATTGCTCTGATTCGTAGAACTCTTGTTGTTACTGCTACTACTATGATGGAGATGAAGACAACTGACAAAGATGAAAAACAAGAATATGATGATGATCACGATGAGGATGGTAATCATTGTTACTCATGCTCTCCTGATCATTAGATTGATTTGTAGTATTCGTTTTATTACTAGTAATGTATGTATTTCTATTGTTGTTAATGTTATGCCCTGCATTATTGTCATTACTTGTAAGTGGTATTATGAAATATTGCTAGTCGAAACTCTTGCTTGTACAACTATTGCTAGAAGTACTATTCATGCTAGTACGACTGTCATTAACATCTATATCACTATTTCTGAGACGATACAGGGAAATTGAACAACTGTCCCAAGCCGGTCCAAGGGTCAGATCCGGGGACAAGCCGCCGTGCATGCACACAATTCGCTCATCGATGACCGCACAAACAGGCATGTACTTAAATGCATCTCCGAAGCTTTTCCAGAGCTTTTGGCTGTACCGCCTCTGGCACTCATCCAAAAAGCCATAGACTCGGTTGATGGATGCGCATTCATGGTTGCCCCGAAGCAAGAAAAACTTATCCGGATATCTCGCCTTAAATGCGAAGAGGAGTGCAATGCACTCAATTGAGTTCTTTCCCCGGTCAACATAGTCACCAAGGAAGAGGTAGTTTTGATGGGCAGGGGAGCCTCCAAAGGTCAGCAAGCGCAAGAGGTCGAAATATTGGCCGTGCACGTCGCCCACCACCTCATGATAGCATATCATACATCATTTAGTACATTACGGCACATCGGCACATAGCATGCTGTGGAATAATAGTACAGCACATAGTTAGAGTCTAGTCTAGTAGATAATCTAGTATATACAAACCCTAAACCCTAAACCCCTAAACCCTATATAGTCTACTACAGGACTCGTAGCTTTCGGCCGTTGGCTCCTGCATAGGTGCCGGCAGCTGCAGGAGCATGTCCTGCTCGGCAAACTTCCGACGCACGAGCTCGATGAGATTGAAGAGATCACGCTCATGCCTACACTGAACTTAGAGCCCGAACAAAATTTGTGATTTTATGTAGCTGTTTCTTAGGGGTGATCATAAGCAAAGATTAAAAGAATGCTTCTAAGTACCCCGAAGATGCATGGGCACTTGCCTTCCGTCTACTGGCGGCTCGTTCTCAAGTTTCAGGAGATCTCCAATCATTCCGTCGACGTCGACGTTGACGACGTTGGGCTCCCCTCTGCGCCTCTTTGCCTCCCTCTCCGGTAGAGCCGAAGCATCGGTCCCATCCGAATGGTGTCCTGGTGGCATTGCGCGCCCTGCGGACGAGGTGGATCTCTGTCCTTGCATTATATGCTTAGTAAGTTAGTACCTTCTCTCTCTCTATATATATGTGTGTGTGTATGAGAAGTGAGTATTCCAGGCATGACACCGTCAAAGCTCGTAGTTAGTCATGAAATGACTTCATAGTTTGAAGAGTAGCAACTCTAACCAGGACAACTGAGCTCGTCCTCTCAGCGCACGTTACTACTACTACTGTTCTCATTAAACCATGACAATCAGTATTAGTAGTCCATAGTAGTAACATTACTGTCGGGGAATGCATCTAGGGGTCTTTGCAGGGGACGCAACCGAGTTGCTGTCTGACATTTAGTCGGTCTGCCAAGCTCAAGGTTAGTAGAACCTCGTCATGTTGCTAGATGCTGCATGCGCCTGAAAGCTGACTGAGCCGAAATGGCCAGGGTGTCAGTCATTATGCACCGTCAGTGCCAAGATAACAATATCTGGATCCATAGCCTCGGCTTGACTAGCTCCCTTCTCAGCCACAGAAAAAGGCAGACACAAACACAATCCAACGTTGTGGGAACCTTCTCTACAACGGCAGTGTCGAGTGAAAGCACTCGCTCGCAAAGTCAGGCTGTTGTCAGAAGTTCTTATACTGGTCTGCCTGAGTGTACAGAAAGAAGCCCAGCAGGTCCATTCCGCAAAATCAGCGAGGCCACCAGACCGTAAAACGAATGCGTCATCAACAAACCCAAGCCGCCGAGGGGTTCAGGGTTTGGGTTTTAGGGTTTTTCCCGTTTAGGGTTTAGGGTCCAAAGTCTAGGGATCCAAACCCCTAAACCCCTAAACTCCTAAACCCCAAACCTTAAACTTCTAAACCCTTAACCCTAAACCCTAAACTCCTAAGCAGGCTGCGTGGTTGTTGGTGGTCGACCAGCCCCACTTGGCGAAAAGGAAGTGCTCCATCTGCGTCCCCTTCGACGTCCTCAGTCTGAGTCTTTGTGTGGGATTACCCAAAGGCCCCAAAGTAGTTCCTTTTTGGGGTTACCTTATAGAATTCTAAGTATGAACCCCAAAAAGGAACTACTTTGGGGCCTTTAGGTAAAGGCCCTTGACTGGCAATCCCACGCACCTTCGCAGTTCGGGTTTGGAATCGGGATGCTGTGATGAGGTTCTCCTTCGGCTGTGTTCCGACTCGAAGTGTCCAGAATAACCCTAAGCCCTTCCCGAAGCCGCGGTAGCGAATTCTGATCTCCTTCTTGCAAGCCCCTGCGCTGAAACCTCAACAGATTCTGATCCTGGCATCCGCAGCTTCAACAGATGGCCAGAAAGTACAGGCACCGAAAAACGCCGCAAAGCTTTTCGACAGATTTCCTCGCTTTGCTTCTAGCCTTAAGGTCATCTGGGCCTAGGATGTCCTACTGCATGAGCTTTCAATTGAGCGTGATATCGATATGGATCTCGTGCTGTGGGTTTGGAAAGACTGACAGATCGCCGCGAAAGCTAGGTTCAGTGATCTGGCATCCGACTTGGATACAGGGGACTTCATGCTTTGATAGTTGGAACAGGGTTTTGGGGCGTGAAACAGAAGTGTTGTAACCGGAACCCTAAAGAACTGTATGATGATAACTGTTCACTAGTTCTATCTTGCGGCCAAGCGTCATGTACTCCTTCTCGCATACCACCCAGATTGCACGAGACGAAGCATCTACATCGATCGGCTGCCCCCAAACGCCGCCTGGGCAGACAAATGCTTAGCTGTCGGCATGCTTCCCGAAACTTGCTGCCTGCAGCTAGTAAGTCTCTAGCGCATGGGGAGTGCTTTTTTGAGTTTTTGATACGTTGCGAGTGAGGTTTGCAATTTCGCAGCTCGTGGTGGCGAATCCTGCAAAAGGAGGCTGCTCAGTGGCACAAGGAACCTAGCTTAAAAAGTAAATCCTTTGGCACAAAGCCGACGTCTCTGATAGATTAGAAATATCAAAATATGAAACAGTACAGAAATCTCAATGTACTGATATTTCAGGGAGTCATAACGAATGCACCATTGATGGCAACACTGCCAGAGGTACTTCTAATGGACGCATACCGTGTCCGCCTGCTGCTTCCGCGGCAATGCAAAGCCTCGTAGATCTAGCTGCAAGGGCTACTTGTCGAGCTAGTGAAGACTACAGTGCGGATCGAAATTTGCAAGATGCTTGTTCGACAGCTAGGAAAGGCCTACTTTAACTGCGACAGGTGTAGGTATAGTATCATCGCTTCCTGAAACCGAGAAAAATACTCCAACGGCAGCCGCAGGCGCTGGCAGAGAACAGGGCAACACAGGCTTACCATATCCAGATATGCCCCTGAAGCCATGGTGTGAGACTCAAGCTGTGTTTGACGAGCGTCTGTGGGTTCTGGCTGTGCCCAAGACCCTCGGCCATCACACCCTTTTTGCTTCCGGGCTAGGGAAGTCGGCCGGGAAAGTGCCAGTGCGAGGGCCTAAACCTTGAACCCTAAACCTTGATGGCTTAGGAAGTCTCGGCAGCTTTCTGAGCTCCCCACCGCAAGGCTCCCCACGCAGCTGTACAAAGGCCGTGTCTTTCTCGTCGGGCCGGAAAAAGACCTGGTGCCGAGCTTTGGGTTTTGACGCTCACTCTCGCACGAGGCTTAGGGTTCGGGTTTGGGAATTGGGGCTTTTTGACGGTCGCAGATTTAGGGTTGACCCTTTACCAAACACATCCAAAAAGCCTTCCTCTGCGGGGTCTGCATCTCAAGCATCTACAGGGAAGCTACCTAGTATCTAGTACTAGTAGGTTGACGAAGGGATACTGCTCCAACCCAAGTTCAGATTGCAGCTTAATCATTAAGATTGCAGGGGAGGGGGATCCAGTCAAGCGGGGGAGGGAGCCCGAGTGGGCTTACTACAGGGGCCTTTATATTAGAATAGGCTAGGGTTTTGTTGGGACCCATTATACTATAATTTTAATAAGGACCCCCAAAATGGTGTTGGTAATTATGAAAGCGCCTGTATTAACAAATGCTTTGCGAGTGCCTGGCAGCAGCTCTGAGCAGTGCTTCGTAGGCCCTCGAAGCCCGCAAAACCGCTCCCCACGAGTATGCCGCACGCGCCAACGAAACCGTGACAAGGTGGAAATATTGGGCGGGTAGTCCTTTTGCACTAGTGGTTTCGGAGCTCACACTCGGACGTACCAGGTGAGGCATGTGCTTCGAGGTCTGAGAAGAAGTGAAACACAATTGACAGGAGCGACGGCCAACTACTCAGCTTGACTGGCCAACTCCTACCGGCGGTTTTTTTGATGTGTACTGACTTTCGATCCAGCCTGCCAAGATTTGGGGTTTAGGGTTTAGGGTTTAGGATTGGGACCTCAACCTTTAATCTTGAACGCTTCAACTCAACCGCGGGAATCCGTCTAAACGGGCCAACTCGGCCCTCTGCATCTGAGCGACTTTAGAGAGGGTCTACACGGGAGTTTCCGAAAATAGGGGGTACCTTTAAAGGGATCCTTTTAAAGGGTTACTATAAGGGTACTATAAGGATTCCATAATAAGGGTTTAGGGTTTGGGAGTTTCCGAAAATAGGGGGTACCTTATTTGGGGTCCTTGGGCACTACATTATGGTCCCTATTTTCGGAAACTCCCACATGGTTTACTGTACTGATCACCATGACCCTAACCCACTATACTAAACCCTTTTTGCACAGACTTGCCATTGTATATGCCCGCCTGGATGTAAACCCGAAACCTCCAAACCCGAAAACCTAACCTAAAACCCTAAACCCTAAAACCTAAACCCTAAACCCAAAACCCTAAAGTTCAATAGGCCCTCGGGACATGGGTCCTGCCTTGCCGTCCTGTGTCAGTCCGAAGAGCATGCCAGCCTCCTCCTTCGGGTTTAACAGCTTAGGGCCTCAAACAAGGAACCAGAATTTAGGGTTTAACAGCTTAGGGCTTTAAACAAGGTGCCAGAATTTAGGATTTAGGGCTAGGGATTTCTGGGGTTTGGCCAGGGTTTCCACAGATCTTGAAAGGATACTGGAGCCTTAGAAGGGAGGGAGCTTATAGGTTTTTGTAATGTCTTGTTCACGGGTATTGAACGGGGTGAATAGGCTTGAGGGCTCAGCGACTTCGGTTTGCAGCTCGGGTTTAGGGAGTTTATATTTGGCCCCATTATACTATAATAATAAGGAAATAGTATTGGTAATTTTTGAGGCCCCTATGTCATTCTGGTCTGGAGTCTTGGCCCTGACACTTGGTACTTGGTCAATCCAGTTCGTACTTGACACCGAGCTCGGACGGGAACCCACAAGAAGGGCAGGAAGGTTCAAGCCGGGCGTGGGACCTCTGAAACCTAAGACTTCCACCCGACACTGCCCATATCGGCATTGATGTCTGGCACGCTTGTTGCAGAGTGGACATTCTGAGACCACCAGAGGAATAAGAATCCAAACCAAATATTTGATGTGGTATTCGTCCTCAGTGGCTTGCATACCATCACGGTGCCGCCGCACCCTGCCAAAAAAGCACCATCAGTTCCAACACTACACGATATCTGGCTTTGGGCGCCGACGTATCAATCGTAAGGAGTACCATAAGCAGCCGTAATCAAAGGAGGCTGGCATAGGATTCATAGGATGACAGGTTCAAACTTCAATAAAGACTGAGGCAACCGTCCAACGGCCCTCAAGCACTTGCAAAGCAATCGGCAATTGATGTAGTCTGTCTTCAGACATCACAAGCCAGTTCCTGCCGCTCCAGGAACGCCGGACAACACCAGGTGCATGAGATCTTCAGACAAGGAGCTGGATAAAGAACATAAATATATGTATCCTTGCTACAAGGATAACTAGATCAAAGGTCCCTGATTCTGATTCTTGGAAGCGTAGGTAAACATATACATAGGCATGCATGTGCTTATGTATTTATTTTGCATCATTGTATACATGTATGTATATGTGGGTCATGACAGGAACAATATGAATACATAGCTTTATGCACAGGAGCTCTAGTTAACAATCATGTGCCGCTGCAATGGCAAGGAACCCTGCGCCGGTGAGCCATCGGATAGTTCGGAGACCGAGGAGACAGCCTCGTGAATGTCCAAGGCTTTCTCGAAGAAGCTCAATTGTCAATACCCCGTGCCGTTACTGAGGAATATGAATATACGTTGAATTATAGGTTATGGAGAGGTTCCGATTGCTGTTGAAGGTATGTTCCGTGATTCAAGAGAACTGGACTCTCTGGGTTAGCTTCAAGGATGTTGCTGATAGCTGCTAGCCCAGCTTACATCCTGAAAGATGTGGACACTGGTGACATTGATAAAACGGCCAGAGAAGGAAACAGATATGTACGAGAGCAGCAGCACGAAGGACAGTCATCACGGATACTCTCTCAACCCGGGTCAGCGATGCTCGGAAACTGCATGTCTATGTGGGTGTATGCATGCATGCGGGCTTGTGTGCATGTGTGTATGCCTCTATGCCTGTATGTATGAAGGCATGTATACATACATACATATGTATGTACATAGATATGGATATAGATACATGTATGTATGCATGTCGTTATGTATGCACGTAAGCATGTAACTATGTATTCATGTCAGCAAGAAGGTATGCATGCATGCATGTATGTGTGCATGTAACGTGGTAGATGTTCAGATCTCTTGTCGTAGAGCACTCACTTTTTTCGATCAAGGCCTCATGGCCTAAAGGAATGCAAGTAGCTGCAATCTAGCTGCCCAGTGGGCTACTTGAAGCTGCACCATGGACAGCAAGGGCGGGGATGGGATGGGCGTGGAGCTCATGTTCAAGTTATTTCGACTCGGACAACTGCAGAGTTCCTTCTGCTGCCCTGCCTCTGCGGCGAGTTGCTACTACGAAGCCATGATCAAGTAATGCGAGCGGAATGTCGCATCCCAGCATTGGCTATAAGCCGGAGCTCATAAACGCTTCACTCTGAATCCCAATACCACAAATGTGGTCCCTGAACAAAGCCGTGGAGCAAGTTGGCAGCAGGACCAAGATGACCAGCACATGCCTATAGAGGGCAAATGGCTCGCATCTCAAAAGGAACCGTAAACCCCTAAACCCCAGCACCCTAATAATTGAGATTAAAGGGCTGGAGGAGTTGAGAAACCTAGCAGGTGCTCACTTTCGGAGTATGCTCGGGCTGGTCAAAGTACCGCAACATTCACATACAGCCATCATCCACCAGGGTATGTTGTCTCTCAACCCCAGCCGCCTCATCCCTTAAAGGAGCCCGCCGGAAGCCTAGGCGAACGACCTGAACACTTTGTTTTTTTCAACTGAAGCTTTCGGGATTCGGGGTCCAGAGACATCTCAGATGTGGGGATTCCTAGGTTTGAAACCTACTATTACTACTACTAGTACCATTATTACTAATATTACTATTATTACTACTATTACTACTATTGCTATTATTGAACCCTAAACCTCTCTAAAGGGAACTCCAGAAAGTTGGAATATGGTTTCAGGGTAGGATACCTTATAACTTACCATAAAGGGTTTAGGATAATCATATTCCAACTTTCTGGCTTTTACTGTAGGGCTTGAGGCTTCTGTAATCCTGAAACATAACCAGGTTTGAAATGCTGTGAGGAAGGTGTTTACGGTCAAGGCTGCAACGCTTACAATGGAGTTTTGGAGAACGTCGTTGTATATTCACACAGCGGCTCTTCGAAAATGCACTTTTGTCATCTTCAGATCCCAGATTTTACTGATAGATACCTGCATGGGCACTTCAAGAAGATGTTAGTCTCAAGTCCTACGGCTGCACCCATCGCATCGCAACCCCAGTGCCAGACTATTTCAGGAATCGACTTTACATCGTGCTACGAAACCCAACTAACTTAGCACTGCGGAAAATAATCACAATGATAGTGACACATACGTAGATAGCTACGTAGATATAGACATATGTAGAGAGGTGTACCACTATGTCTATCATCATATAATACATATACTCTAATTCTGAAATAACCTTCTGAAAACCTCAACATGGGGACCGGCCTGACTCGCTCATGCAAGCTGTGGCCACTATGGTGCCACCGTCGCCCCGTTCCCCCATCCAACATCCTAGCAGGGGGCACGCGGACGGAAGTAGGCTCAGGTTCAGTGAAGTTAAGGGAAGCTTTGAAGGCCGGGCGAACAAAAGTGGCTCAGCGATGTGGCTCCAGAGCATCATTACCACGCAATCTTATCCATGAGTTCCGACGCAGCCCCAAGTGCTCGGTCTTTGCAACAAAAAAGTTCGATTGGCCTGATGATGTGATCCAGTTTTGGGGTCAGGGGCCCAGCAAGATTTCAAATACCAGAAAGACATCTTCACATACAAGCGTAATGAGCATAGCAAGTCACAATTGACACCCGCACCGCTAGATCCAAGCCGACACTTCCTCGGTCGACGTGCCCAGGAAGGGTCGCTTTGGCCCAGGTCACTTTGCGACGGACACCACGCGACGGGCTACGTCAAATCCGTTGGGACATTGCTTGAGCACACGGCGACGGAGGAACTGCTGAGTCATCATGCTCCGTAGACCCGAAAACCTAATGCCTGTACTGTCCTGGGGGTTCTTTCTTCTAGTTCTCCTAAAACCCTAGTGGTGTTGAACATAATCCACAAGTCGGCGCCAGACTCCTCCCAGGAGCCCGAAGGTTGAAAGAGACAACACATAGAAATATCTACCTACACATGCTTCTAAACAACATATGATGTTCAACAAAGACCTAAAACATACAGTTAGGTACTTTGCACTATATACAAAGTCGTGGAGCCCCAAAGGCCTCAATCACGAAACAAAAAATCCTACACGCTAAAACACCCCTCACCAACTACGCACGAAATCCGAAGCAACCCTGAACCCTGACCCCTAAACCCTTGTTTGAACCCGGGCTGAGGCCAAGGCTTACGACGGGAAAGGTAATCTCCTCCGAAATCCGAAGCATCCCAAAGCCTGGCCTCTAAACCCTAAATTCCGAAACCCTAAGCATCCCACAGCCCGGCATCCCAGCCCCGCACGCAGCGAGGCCACGAGGGCAGCGGCAGAGCAACACCCAGCCAGGCCTCGGAGACTTGCTTAGGGCCTAGGGCTTAGGGTTTAGGATGTAAGGCTTTTTGTTTAAAGCTCCTTTTGTCCAAGCCCGATGGTCCGAAGATTTAAGGCTTAGGGTTTAGGGTATAGGATTTAGGGCTTCAAGTTAGGGTTGCTTTAGGGTTCAGTGTTTAGGGCTTATGGTTTCGGCACTCACACTCGGACAATCCAGGCGAGGCATATGGTTCGGAGTCTGGCAAAGTGAAACATACCTAAAGAAAGTAGTCAGGATGATAATCAACAACGGGAACAACAGATAAAGTGACTGTTTAGGGTTCAGGGTTTAGGGCTTAGGGTTTAGGATTTAGAGTTTAAAGTTAGGGTTGTTTTTTTGTTGAGCTCCTTTTTCCCAGAGGCTGCAGTCTGCGACTTCTAAGAAGGCCTGGGCAAAGTTAGGGATTTAGGCATCAGAGATTACACTTTTAGGGTTTAAAGGTTTAGGGTTTCAGGGTTTAGAGTTGACCTCATCCTGCCAAAACCTACCAGTTTTTGTAGGTTCTTACTCTAAACGCGGCTTGGTGATTGTTCATCTTCATAGAGCTTTCTGCTTAATTCAAGCTGTTTGGCCTGTCTTACAGTCTTACAGGGTTTAGGGATGTTCAGGGTGTATCGCGAATTGAGCGTCTATCGTGTAGGGGCGTCGGGGTATAGTGAAGGCGACAACTTTTGTTGACACAGTGCCGTTAAGTATCGAACGTCGGTATCGAGGCTGACGAGTCACCGGGGCTCCCTCTGTCTTCTAGAGTCTTTTGGGGGAGAGGCGTTCGAGCCTATGCATTAGATAGCTTTCTGGAGGGACAAGTCACAAGGATGGCTTTCAACGGGCTTCGAGGTTGCAGGGGCCAGGGGATGGGATGGGGCTTTTTTAGGGGATTCCGGTGCCAGGCTATCGGTTGAAAACTTTCACGTTGATTCATGCCCTCGTTCCAATTCCTGTTGATCACTATAAGCCCAAAGACCCCTACCCCGAACCCTACATCTACCTTTTGTCTCCATTGTAGTTCCTTTTTAGGGTTACCTTTTGGGGTCCTTAGCATATAATTGGATAAACCAAAAAAAGGAACTACAATGGAGACTATAGGTAGCTCAAGCTTGAGCCTACAAAGCTCACGAAGCTCGCTTTGCAGGCCAGAACTGACTCGGCGCACCTGCTGCGAACCGCAGCCATCGCAAGCAGATGCCTTCGAGGCGGCCCTCACCCCAAAGACTCCGCTAAGTACTGTAGGGGCCTTAATAATTAAGAACAAGGTTTTGGATTCCTGTACAGTATAGTTATAGTAAGGAATCCTACAAACAGTATTTTTGGTAGTTCTTTATTTAGGCTTCTATAGTACAAGTATCTCTTACGCACGGGCCCCTGCGAAGGTCTCAAGCTAGCGACGGTTTGTAAGTGAAGGGAAGGGATTGTCCGCAGCCTTTGGGAATTGGACTAACCATTACCCAACAGCCGCACAGTGAAAGCCCCGTAGGCTTGTAAATACAGCTATCCTTAGGATGACCTAAAGGTATGTACAGCCCCGAACAGGACCTTCTTTCGTTCGAAAGCACTCAGCTCACCGACCCTTCAAGCAGACATGTAAAGTTCAACACCCTCCAAGTGTACGTCGTAAACCACAAATCTTAACCGAAGACGCCATAAACCCTGCAACATTTCAGCCCACGAAGCCCTAAATCGAACGCCAGCAAGCCTATCGCTTGGACAGCCCAATTCTGGGTCACCCGCAAAACTGCTGAGTATAAGTAAGCGCCAAGTGCAGATAGAAACCCCTGACCGTGAAAACTCGAGTTTCATACCAGGGTTTACTCTCACTACACCACGCGTAGATACATGGTATCTAGAGAACATGCGCCACAAACTCATGGAAAATAAAGACCTGTTCATTTCCGAGGCAAGCACCCACTCAGTGCGGCTACTGCCATTCTGCCAGAAGGCATTCTGGGCCTCACGGCGGTCTGAGATGCAAGGAACTTCCTTTGCGGTCTTGTTTCAATTAATATAGGGTCCTTAATAATTAGAATAGGGTTTTGGGGCCCGTCATACTTTTCGACTTGTAATAAGGAATCCCCAAAACAGCACAGGTAATTATTAAGGCCCCCTACAGTAGTCCATGGCCCGATGCAGTCTATACTCGGGCTTAGGGCCTTTGTGCAACTGGAACTTGGCAACTGCAATAAGACATGACATGCACTGTGCCTGTTTGCATTAGGACTTGTGGGTCTGAGCAGCCCTAAACCCTAAACCCCTACACCCTAAATCCTAAACCCTACACCCCTAAATCCTAAACCCTAAACTCTAAACTTCAGCTCTCATCACTGCTCCTCCATGCCTTGCTAACTGTACCAAAGTCCTTAACCCTCTTCCTTCACTCAAACCATATGACCTCGTAAACCCTCTAATCCGCGTAAACACTATGGAACACCAACCCCTCCTGAATCATAGTGAACCTAAAAGAACTAAGAACACTTTTGAAACCTATGGAATGCATAGCAAACCTACAGAGCAAAAAGACCTTGACAAACCCGGAGAGGTGTAGACCCACCATAACAACCCATATAGACCTACCATCAAATCATAATATATCACTGTATGTTCTTATCATGTTCTGTTACATTCTATCACTTGTCTTGGACTTGCGATACTAATTTAATTCAGAACACCCTGAACCCCGAACTGCCTAAACCCCGAACCCACACGAACCGAGAGGTCCGACCTCGAAGCCCAGCGCCCATCCGCTAGCCTCGTGGTCCACGAAAGCGGAGATGCAGTGTGGGACTTTGAAGGGCAACTAGTTCAGTTAGGCCTCTTGTTTCAGTTTAAGGACTGTACTCGATCATGAAAGCCCCAACCTATCAAAAGCTTGAGGGGTAGCTGCTGTATTCTTCCGGGAGCTAGGGCTAGACCCTGATGAGGCTATGTGTCGCGGTTCGAACTGTTGGGATCGCGAAGTTAAGGAGGGGTACCTTGACCTACGTACCATAGCCTACTTGTTGGCAGCGTCCAGATATGAACACGAACATGAAACCTCATGGACTCATGGAGACCTTACAAAACAGAGGGTCAAGGTTTCCGTATTCCCGACTTCTGGGTGCATAGTTGTTCGTCGGGATCAAGTGATATGAAAGTTCAACACTCCATTTCCCTGTTCCCACCAATTTCCGGTGTCCCAAGTCCCAGGGCCTAAAAGAAGGTATGACGTTCTTCAACGACTCCTGCCACTTCGCAGGTTTCGTGATGTGGATGTGCAGATTTCCCGGGCTTTCGCGCCATTCGGGAACATATTCGGTGGGAACTTCTCATTTCCGCTCTGGCTTCATGGTTGGCCTTCGGCTCTCGTGTTGAGCTTCTTTATGGTTGGGCGGGGGGGGAGGGGATGATGACTTGCAGTTCGGATATGCACGTGTGATGTGATGTGGGTGATGACCATGACGACGATGAGGCTGATGATGGTATGCTAGGGTTCTGCTTAGGGACAGGGGCTTAGAACGACTCCCATGCCGACAGTATGCGGATATGACTAATTCGATCAGAATACCGCGTAGGGATCAGAAACATCCTCTCAGAACCCTCTAGGCCCTAAGCCCCATAACCCCAAGGCCTAACCTCCTATAGTGCTCACCCAAACTGAGCTACCAGCGATGATGCTTGCGTCCACAATCTCCGTGGAGCCTCGAAGGAGCAGACAGGAGTTTGGCTTGGCTTAATGACCGAGGAGGCTTCTGGAGGCGTTCTAAACCATGATAGCAAAACGAAGCCTGACGCACAGGCGTTGTTAAGTAGTCATTCTGTCAGGCTCCGATACTACGAGTCTACAAGAACGGCACTTTACGGCGCAATGGCTAATGTGGCTTCGTGAGCTCCCAATCCACCTACTGAAATGTGTTGAAAACCAAGTAATGTACAGCCCAAAGACTGAACCTCCGGACTGTACAGCATGTATTGCAATGCACCGTACCGTTTATATAGTACTACACTACACTATATT